GGGGGGGGGGAAGTAAAGAAAAAATGTAATCTGATTATTGAATTAACTTGTTCTGTTTCCTTTAATTGCAGCATGAAGAAAACCTGGAAAATTATGTTGGAGTCCCATGAAATCCAGAAGAAGATCATACAAGAAGTGAAATATTTTACCTGCCCTTTGTATGGAAAATTTTGCAACGAATCTCACAGGCGTGCTACACTTCAGCTGGAAACTGAGCTTCTGAATTGGCGTGCATGTTTCACAGAATACATTACAGCCCATATCAAGGCCGTCCATGGATGGCTGGCTCAGTTCGTTGCCCCTGAAGTTGAAATCTACTCTAGAGGCAGGTGTTCGACTCCATGTTGTTATTCAAATGGGCCACCACCACCTGTGATTTGTCGAGATTGGTTGGCTTCCAAGGACAAGTCACCGGATAAGGTTTCTTTTGCCCTCAAAAGCTGCAGATGGAGGTTAGAGCTTTGTGGGTGCAGAAAAGAGAGGAACAGAAGCAGAAACAGAAAAGGAAAGTCAACAATCTTTCCCGAGAACTGGACAGAAAGATTCTGGCATTCCAAAAGATTGAGAGTAACAGGTTCGAGTTCAAACTCATTGACCACAATACAGAGCAAGCGATTGAGCATTGGAATGAAAATTTTAAAGAGAAGAAGGTTATGCTGGACAATTTCTGAAAAAGGGTGGACCAAGTGAAGGAAAAACACCATAACTGCATGCAAGAAACTGAGAAGATCACGCTAAATGGGTATCAGACCGGTTTAATAAAGTTCTCTAGTCCATGAAAGAATTCTCCAAGGATATGCTTTAAGTATGTACATTGACCTGTTAAACAATGTGACTGCCGAGAAAGTTGGCAAACCATCCCGCACTGGGTGTTCCCAAGTTGAAGAAAATGGCAGCAGATGATGTGAAAATTGTTGTGTGGACTTTTCGTGTTCTAGGATTGTAGTATGGAGTGTTGTACATTAGACTGTGTCAAAGCAACTCGCTGAGACAATTATTTATGGATTTCTAGTGTCATTGGTTTGCACTGGGTTACGTTATTAAGGTATTTAACCCTCAGTTTTAATTTTAATCTTTTTGGACAGGACTGGATCTTGCATATTTATTGGCAAGAATACCAGCAAGATGAATAGGGTTGGTATGAGATTTTTATGGGCAGGTTATGCAAGTTTTTATTTCTCACTTTGAGCTGATAGTTAAACAGAGCAAGGTTTGATGAAATTAATTCTATTTCATCACCTGAATCCTGCCTTCCTAGAAAGTTTACACTTTTTATCTGTAACGTTCTCAATTCTATATATCGCGGCCTTCACTTTCTGAAACATTCAATTTGATGTTAGGGGAGGACGATCAACTTCTTTCTCAAGCTGTAAAAGGCATCAACAAATCGTCTTTTCTTGTGACAGCCTATCCCTTAAACCTCAACATACTTCCTTCACTATTTTCCTGTTCTTGAGCAATCCTCAACTTTTCCTATAATTGCAATCAACATACAACACTCGTGACTACAATCACTTCCTTTCATAATGCAACAAACCCTATTTCTACTCCCAACAATTCCCATAACAAATAGGTAGGTCTGTGCCTGGCTTTTCTACTTTGGATTCTTCAACAGCTTCAGTCTAAATATCACGTAATCATTGACCACTGCTTGCTTTCCAAAGGTGAAGTCAAGCAAAAAGATGGGCATTCTAAGGATTGAAGAGCAAATTCCACGCAACATAACATTTCAAAGTAAATATATTCACTAATTTAGGTTCTTGAACTTTATCTTTGTACAAGTCAAGGAAATACACATCCTAAATAAGCATATCTGGAAAACCGAGCAAAGACAATTGACCTCCCAGGCTTAAGCAATTATAAGGTTTTGCCTGTCCTATATTACGTACAAGGAGATCAAAAATTGAGAAATGAGTACAAATTCGCTCACAATCGTAGCTGGTGTGTGAATGCCAAGAAAAGGGACAATGTCAACTTGCAACCAACTTTCAACTGCCGAACCCACCACAGCACCAGTCACAAGGCCTCCTATTGTTATGGCAGCCGCCTTCCCTGCAAATTCAAAACCCCCAATTACTTATAATAAGCTGAAGTATCAACAAACTTGAGCAATATCATCACACCAGATCATTTAACTTGAAACCGATATTATCTTGATTCAATCACCATTTATGATAAGGAAATAGATTATATTTTTGCTATCTTTCCATGCACCAGGGAACTGGGTGAATAAATGTTACATACACTATCAACAATCCACAGTTTTATGTCCACAAATAGAACAGAAGTTAATGGAAGAAGTAAAATAAATGCTTTTTGCAACCAAGCACCATATCACTTTCCTTATCGGGCCAACACCCATGTTCTACAATACGTTTTAAAATCAAGAGGCAAATAATATGCAATACATTAATCGTAAACTCTAAATACAAGGATGCGATCAATAATCTTCAAAATAAATCTTAAACCAGCTATTACATGGGTTCATCACATGCACAACACGAAGAGACTCACGTCTGTAACTAAGAAATAAAGCCTCCATAGAATGAGTGTGTGGCTTCCAAGTGAACCTGTCCTGCAATCATTGGAATGATACCTTTTTATGCAAAATATAAGAACCACATGAACCTGAATGGTCAAACTTGGAGCATATGAAGGTGCACAACAAAGATTTCAAATTAGGGTATTGTTTTTGCTAAACTCATACATAATTATTAAGTAGTTTCAGTAAATATATTTGGGCTTTTGAAATGGCTAGGTATGACCTTGGAGTCTCGTGTAAAAAAATTGAAGTTCATTTACATTCACAAATTGAAAAGCATGTTACCCAACCGTTTTGTCTCTACCATTTTTTCCCTTCAATTTCTAGTTTATATGTATGCTCATGCAAGGAAGCAAATAAACTATGATAAACTACATAATCCTAGTTCTCTAATACAAAAACGCCTATCCACCTTCAATCTTTGGTTAAAACTTGTTTCTTTTGCCAAGAAGAACTAAAGTGCATTTGACCAGTTCTGGCATGAAGGATGCATAACCAAACATCTATGTAATAGGAATCTACATAATTGATCATGTTAAGATAAGTTCTGCATAACTACTCTTTCTGTGGGTTATGAGACACAAACCACCAGGCAGTCACAGTTAACGACCATAATTAAAAGAAAAGAAATATAAAAGAGAAACACAGCATCAATTATATGGCTAATGGGAAGGGTTAGTATTACTTCCTCACCTAACTTGACCTTTTTCTTGGTCAAGAAGTACAAGGATGCTCCGAAACTAGTGGCTAAAATCAGCCCCGGGACGTCAGCTCCAGAATATTGGGCTGAAGCTCCATTAAAATATGTTAAGACCATTAAAGCTCCATAGACCCCAGCTTGCAAACCTAACTCGGTGGTAGATGGTGTTTCAACTGAGATAGGTGAGCTTCTGCCAGTAGTCTGCAGCCACTTGGGCATTGACCCCATTCTCGGAGCATTTACAGGTTTAGCATCGGCATAGCGGATACTGCTACTTACAACTTTCCCTGCTCTTCTTTGTGATAACCTCTGCATGAGCAGCATATCATATGCAGCCTCTACCTGATAATGATAAACAAAATTAATCAAAGCAAATATTGGTGAAAAAAATGGTGAACACGGCCATTATTAGTAACCAAAAAATGATGTATATATTCACAAGAATAGATGCAATAGACAAGTAATATGCCCGCAAGCAAAGTTCATCTAAAATTTAATTAATATGTATGACATATAACATAAGAAGCTATGCTACAAATCAAGCTCTTAACAGAGCAGCCACTTGAAACTTTAGCTTGTGTTTGCGAACATAAGCACATGTGAATATAAACATATTTCGACCCATTTGGGGCAAGAGGTTGAGGGCTTGTTGCTCACAAGGAATCAGATCGTTGTATGCAAAGAAGTTCAAAATTAGCAGTCTTATATCTAACAAGCAAACACTTTTCACTTCATAATTAATCAATTCATGACCGAAGAATTGAGAAACTAAATGGACATTAGAATATTATAGAGTTATTATGGATTGAAGCAGATCGAGAAAAGAGTAAAGCAATTATGAACAAACTCTTCAAATTTTCAAGCAAACTAATGAAAGATGATCAAGTGAAGATAACAATGTATAGATATAGATGGATTCACGTAGACAACTTTGCCTTGTTTAATTTTGAAAATGGCCTTTTAATAGAAAATAGTTGGAAAAAAAAAAGAGGATCCATGCAATCCAATTCTAAATTTCCTAAAGAAGAAATGGAAATAATCCCCTCTCGCATATAGATATGAGGAAAGTTGTAAATTTATAGAAATTAGAACCTGCGCAATCGTTTCTTGGTCATCTTTACAGGTAGCAAGGATTGAATTCTTGGCTCGGAGAATATCATCGAACGAAGCTCCCTCAGAGACGCCCAACACTTTGAGAGCATTCTCCACTGACATCTCAAACGGCGCCGAGTCATCGGCTCGAGACCCAGCACGCACCGCCGTCGCTAAAATGTGCCGGTGGCCCCACGTGTAGCGGTGGGATTTGAGTATATTAATTAAGGCCGGTGCATCGACCCGACGAGGTCTGGTCCGGGTCGGGCAAAAGGGGTCGCCACCCAAAATAGCTCTGCTGGGCCGGACCGATAGGGTTGTCGCCATCTTTGTTTGTGTGAAGGGGAGAAGTATTAACGGTAGACGCAATAAAAGATTCGTAGGGATGTGGCTTCGAGCTTATTGGGGAAGGAAAGAGATGACGTGGACTATATTGGAACAGTGTGTGTCTATTATTTGAAGTTGAATCCAACAGGCTGGTCTGATTTTGATTGCTTGTTTATTATTTTATTAATTTAGGGCCTTTGATTTTCATTCTTTAGCTAAAAAAAATAAAAAATATAATCCTTATCCATCACATCAATTCATTATACTCAACTCACATTTGATTTTCATTTTTGGCCAAAAAAATAAAAAATATGACCGTTATCTATCACATTAAACCACCATATTTGACTTTCTACTTTTTATGTGGAATCTCATAATGACTATATTTTTCATTTTCATATTTAAATCTATGGGAATCAAACAGGGCCTTAATTTTCTATCTCTTCTATGAATACCTTAAAGACTATTTTTTTCATTCTCATTCTTAAATCTATGAGAATCAAACAAAGCCTTAATTTTCTATCTCTTGTATGGATATCGTAAAGACTATTTTGGAGCCTTAATTTTCTATCTTTTGTATGGATAAGTAAAGACTATTTTTTTCACTCTCATTCTTACAAAATGAAAAATCAAACGGGGTCTTATTTTTGTGGTTGTAGGCTGATGATGGACAAGTTTTTATCTGGTCTTAATTTCATTTCCCAGACCAAAAAAAAAAAAATAAAAAAAAATTAGGGAAATACAATCCATTTAACAACACAAGCATCAAAATGATCAAATATCGACAGCCAAAAAATATCATAAAACGTGGTTGTGGCTAGTAACTGTTCCGTCTCCATTTTTGTTGAAACCCAGAAGCACACAAGTAGCCGTTGCAAAATTAGAAAAGAAAGCTGTTGTCGATATAAATTGAGAAACATGTTGGGTTGTTGTAGGGTGTTGCCCGCCTTTCCAAATCATTCATTTAGACGCGGGTTTTGCTGTAGAGCAGAGGATCAACAACCTGTTTACACTGAACGTCAGAACAAGAAGAAAGTTGTCGTCGTCGGTTCTGGCTGGGCTGGCCTTGGCGCTGCCAACCACCTCTGCAAACAGGTACTTACAATCTTTCATCAAAATACGATATGTTCTTGCTTCTATGGTTTAATATGGTTCTGTCCAATTTATCACCTTGAGAAACGGAGTTTTGCCTGTGCATTCTATTAGTGAGTTTGCTGACACAATTTTAATTTTATATGAATTGTTGTTCTGGAATTTGGTTTCAGGGCTTTGATGTCACAGTTCTTGAGGGTGGTTATGAATTTGGATATAAAAATAAGTCCCTCAGTCCTGATGATTATGGTATTCGAGGTAATTGATCGTGTTCTTGAATTCTAGTTACTGTCCATTAATAAGAGCATTTCATTTTTTGGTTTCGCACTAATACTAATGAAAAAAATGGTACTAGGTTTCTGGTATCCTTATAGAAATATATTTAACCTTGTTGATGAGATTGATGTTAAGCCATTTACAAGCTGGACAAAGTCTGCACAATATTCTGAGGAGGGGTTGGAGGTAAACTGCACTTCTCAATTATTTTTCTTTTTCCAGTTTCACGAAGTGTGTACAATTTGTTTCTTATGGCTTTGTCATATATGGATAGATTTATTTTTCAGGTTGAATATCCCATATACAAAGATGCACTACAATTGCCAACTCCATTTGGAACCTTATTTAACACTCAGGTATAAATCCCTGAAGGACCCATACTGATTTCAATCTGTAGCCTATTTGTACAATCGGATTGATGGACACTATCCACTTTATCTTGCCACTGCAGTTCGTTCGATTACCATTGATTGATCAGTTGACATCACTCCCTGTGATGGCTGCAGGTAAGTTCAACTGCAACCTTGTCTTGCTGAGAAATGGTTAAAGTTACATAACTTCATTTATTCGTTAACCAGTATATACTTCTTGTTGCAGTAATTGACTTTGACAACACTGATGCTGCCTGGAGAAAATATGATGCCAGTAATGAAAGTTTTTATATTTTTCTTTGGAGAAGTTAATTACACTCTTGATAGAATTGAAATAATTTCTTCAAAATGTTCAGTTACTGCTAGAGAGCTATTGAAACGATTTGGCTGCTCGGAAAGGCTATATCGAGATGTTTTTGACCCCTTACTTCAAGTGGGTTTGTTTGCCCCAGCAGAGCAGTGTAGTGCTGCTGCAACTATAGGAATGCTATACTATTTCGTTCTTGCTAATCAGGTCAGTTGGATGAGTCTTTTCTGGACTTCCAAGTTCGTCATAGTCCCCCGTTTTCAATTTAACAGAAACAAAAACTCGGATTTTGGCTTTGTGAACGTTGACTTTATGATATTTGTACTCTTTCTAGACACAAGGAAGAGTAACCTGTCGATTACACTATCAATTTGCATTCTGTTGTTTGTAAATGATCATCTTTCTTTTACTCTGTTAAAAAAATTGTTTGCTTATGAATTTATCACTTCTTTTTTATGAATTGATACAGAAACACTTTGATTTGGTATTGTGTCGTGGAACAATAAGAGAACAAATATTTCAGCCTTGGATAGAATCCCTGAAAACCCAAGGTTGTAGGTTTCTGGAGGGTAGAAAAGTTACAGATGTAACACTCGATGAGGAAACAGGTTGCATAACTGAAGTAGTTTGTGGGAAAGAGAGTTTTAAGGTTGATGCCGTAATATTGGCTGTTGGAATCTCTACCCTACAGGAAATCGTACAGAACAGGTATGCCCAATCATGCTTTTACTTCCATGTCCTGTTTCTTTTCCCCATCTGACTTATGCTCAACTTTCCAATAGAATAGCATCAATCATGATAACTAGAATTCAAGAATCGATTTGATTGTCTCTATCCTTGTAACTGGCAATTATATTTTCTGTAGTGCAGTATTATGTACCAGAGAAGAGTTTCTGAAAATTATGAACTTGAACAGCATTGATTTACTTACTGTTAAGGTGGAACTTGATAGGAAGGTATGCACAGTTTCATTACTTCTTACCCTGAAATGAGGAATCAAGGAAATTTGCCTTTTACCTATATAGAAGTCTTATAATTCATGCATGACATTTCTTTGAGCAGATGAAGTATAAATTGTTGTTCTTTGAGCTACTATGAGGTAGTACTTGGTTAACTTTTCAGAAAGTAAAATTTTTATCAGAGAACTTCGTGAATGAATGAATGAACAGGTTAACCTTTCAAACGCGAGCAATGTTTCCTGTGGATTTGAGGGTTCTTGTGCATGGACCTTTTTCGACTTGAGCATGATTTATGACAAG